TTTCAACCCGGGCCTACCAATCCGGGATTAAAGATCGATCTTTAGTCCCGGTTTTTTCACCCGGGACTAAAGATAGCGATCTTTAGTCCCGGATTGGTAGTCCCGGTTTGAAAACCGCGACTATAGGGGGGTTACGAACCGGGACTAAAAAGCACTTCTCCACCAGTGTATGTATGAAAAATATTTTAATCCTTTGGGTGCATATGAACTTTTTAATATTGATAATTTCTGAAAATATTTTATATGTATGTGCCATAGATTATTGTGGCATTTTTTTTTACAAATACGTAGGGTATAAATTCAATCTGCAGATGCAAAAAAGGGATATGACAACAAAAGGTGATATTGTCTAAATTTATAATGAATTATTTTGAAGCAATTATATAAAATAATTGAAAATCAATACCATAAACAGTACTGTTCTTAATTACAATTGATGGTACAACTATCTTTCTCTCTTTACTGGATTGATAATTTTGAATGTATTTCAACGATGGCGATTCTGCTAATTTCTATCTGTGTCTTGTAATAGAAGTTTTGTTTCAAAGTCGACAATACCACACAAGTTGCAACTGTCCCAAATATAGAATGAGGTATTTGGAAGTAATGATATAGAATAATAATTGCAAAGCAAATATCATAAACAGTACTATTATTAATTCCATTAAACCGGTACCTATCTTTATCTCTTTCTTACTATCTCTAAATAGAAATCATTTTTTTGCGGGAAAAATAGAAATCAATTTTGACAATGACAATTCTGACCATTTCTATATTCGTCATGTAATTGAAGTTTTGTTTAAAATTCAACATTACCTCTTAAATTTGTTTTCAAAAGTTCATTTTGTCGTCTCAAAAGATCATGAAAAAGTATTATCTTAATGCATGGAAATTAATTTTCACACTTACCGTCCACACAACAACAGCAGCACTCTATTTTTTTCTTCTTTTTTGCAAGATAAGGAAAAACCTTGTATAGGGGGAATTAAAGAATTTTCCGTTTTTTACCCTTANGCACACTACTCCCTCCATCCTAAAATATACAGACGCTTTATAAAAAAATTAATAATCAATTCCTACTAGTTATAAATATAGGAATTAGTTTATTTTGAGATGTAGAGGGTAGCTTGCAGCTGTCTAGATTAGTCGAGGGAGTAGCAAAACTTGTTACATATTTTTGTTTCCTCGATGACAATACAAATCCCCTAATGCTACTACTACCACTTTGGAGAAATATAATATATCTTTAGCCCTAATAATCCAACACGTCGTTGCAGCACTCGAGCTCTCGGTTGCCTACCTCACTGCGACGTGTGCACAGCAACAAGACTACGTGGGCAGCTGCAGTTCCAGCAATGGCACTAGCTAGAAGGAGACAAAAAGGAAAAAAAAAAGAAGAAGAAGAACAGAAAAATGAAACTGCTGGGAGAAAAAGGGAAAAGAGAAACAGACCACAAACTGCACAAAAACCATCAACCCAACGGCAACCCAGAGAAGGGATGGGGAACTGTGGATTCGTCTGCACGTCGTGCAAATTTTGGTTGAAAATGTCTAGTTTTGAAAAGTTTATTTAGCTCTTAATGTTTAAACTTGGGTATTTAACCAATACTGTATATATGATAATCTGATTCTCTTTAGTTAAGTGGAGTGCAATACTCCGTCTCCTTAGGAGATTAAAAGAAACGGTTAAGCATGTTTTCCGACCATTTTCAGAGGTTATGCTACGGTTTATTTTCAGTTTTGACCAATTATTCAAGCAGCAGTATCATGATTCAACAGGCAATGCATCTAGTCCATAGGGAATTTAGTTCGTTTTGTAGTTGAAGTAATCAAATTTGATGTTACCAAATTTCAATATTTTTACGAGTTGACTAGGATTCAAGCCAATTTTTATCCAACCAAAATTGATAATTTCAATAATATCCCATAGAAGTTTGGTTTTTTACAAGTTTTACATAGAGTACAAATTCTACACTACAAATGTTTTGCCTATGTGGGTTTGAAATTTCTCATCAAATTGGTTCTTATTGATCAAACTATAGTTGATAAACCATTAAAAATGAACGATGACATTAAAATTAAATTTTAGGTAAAATATTATATTTGTATTATTAGTGGTCTATAAAAGCCATGGCTGAAAAATAATATACTACAGCAGGAAAAAAATAAAAACCAAATCTGTAATTAGGTTTCAACATTTAAATTTTGGCTACAATGATAAACCAACAAACAAGTATGGAAGTATACCAAAATGATTACTCCCTTCATCTAGCATTATACCAACTTCTATATATGTATCTAGATAAGTTCTTATCTATATATTCCGCACGTTTTAAAAAGAACATCTTTTATAATGAATCTACACATATAAATATACCTTTTATAATGAATCTGAACGTAGACTATATTTAAACTCATATTTAAAAGTAATCATATTTTTGAAAGGATAGGGTATAGCCAAAATTGTTATGTTTTCGAGTACTAGTACTACTAACTACTAGCAAAGAAGTTACTAGCCAAAATTGTTTTATTAGAAGTTGAAACTAAAAGAAAAGGAAGACAACGGAGGCCAGCAGGGGATGTGGGCCCCACATACGCCGCTCGTGGTGGGACCAGACTGTCATGGACCCATTCCGAACCCGGAGACGCCATTATAAATCGGCTCGAGTCCGAGGCAAGCCGAACCCGGATCTCATCTCATCTCGGCCGGTCTTCGATCCCCAAACCCCCCCGCCCCGCCGGAGTCCCCCCTGCTCCGACGAGCCTCGCCGCGCCGCGCCGATGGCTGTGGAGGGCCGCCGCCGCGTGCCGCTGCCGCTGCCGCCGCCGACGAGGCGGGGGAAGCAGCAGCAGCAGCAGGGGGGGGAGAGGGCGAGGAGGGTGCAGGCCGGGGACGCGCTCCCGCTGCCGATCCGGCACACGAACCTCATCTTCTCGGCGCTGTTCGCGGCGTCGCTGGCCTACCTGATGCGGCGGTGGCGGGAGAAGATCCGCACGTCGACGCCGCTCCACGTGGTGGGGCTCGCCGAGATCCTCGCCATCTGCGGCCTCGTCGCCTCGCTCATCTACCTCCTCAGCTTCTTCGGCATCGCGTTCGTGCAGTCCGTCGTCTCCAACAGCGACGATGAGGAGGAGGAGGAGGACTTCCTGATCGACTCCCGCGCCGCGGGCCCCGTCGCCGCGCAGGCTACCCCTCCGCCGGCGCCGGCGCCGTTCTCGCTGCTGGGGAGCGCCTGCGCCGCCCCGAAGAAAATGCCGGAGGAGGACGAGGAAATCGTGGCCGAGGTCGTGGCGGGGAAGATCCCGTCGTACGTGCTGGAGACCAGGCTGGGCGACTGCCGCCGCGCCGCCGGGATCCGGCGCGAGGCGCTGCGGCGGACCACGGGGAGGGAGATCAGGGGCCTCCCCCTCGACGGCTTCGACTACGCCTCCATCCTCGGCCAGTGCTGCGAGCTCCCCGTGGGCTACGTGCAGCTGCCGGTGGGCGTCGCCGGCCCGCTCGTGCTCGACGGCGAGCGGTTCTACGTCCCGATGGCCACCACCGAGGGCTGCCTCGTCGCCAGCACGAACCGCGGGTGCAAGGCCATCGCCGAGTCTGGCGGTGCCACCAGCGTCGTGCTCCAGGACGGGATGACGCGCGCCCCCGTCGCCCGCTTCCCCTCCGCGCGCCGCGCCGCCGAGCTCAAGGGCTTCTTGGAGAACCCGGCCAACTTCGATACTCTTGCCATGGTCTTCAATAGGTATAAACGACGCATTCCACTTTAATCCCCTCTTGTCCCTTTCACTCTATGTTGCACGCGCATAGCAAAATGACATTTTAGACAGTGTGGCTCTTGTGTTGGACGACACGTCTGTTGCCATCAGTCCACATCAAGACATAAATTTCATTCAACCTATAATTAATTCCCCGCTATTTTGTTTACAAGTTTTGTTTTACAAATCTTAAGGTTGGATGGTAAGATAATATAAGCTAATTTGTGGAAATATATGAGCAGATCGAGCAGATTCGCTAGGCTGCAGAGAGTGAAGTGCGCGGTGGCCGGGAGGAACCTCTACATGCGGTTCAGCTGCAGCACAGGGGATGCCATGGGGATGAACATGGTGTCCAAGGGCGTCCAGAACGTGCTGGACTACCTTCAGGATGACTTCCCTGACATGGATGTCATCAGCATATCAGGTTTTTACTTCAATTTTTAAGCCATGCCATGAACCAGTATACTTGCTTTACTTTTGAAGTTTATTAGTCTGCGGTCACACGGCGGCTTATACTCTTGTCAGCATATTGATTGACTAGTTCTTCTTCCAATGGTGCGTAGCATATAGACATTAGATAGCGTTCAAACAACTTTAATAGACGGTGGCTAACTACGGAAGCAGAACAGTGAACATAACCAATTGGTGGATTGCATAGGCTCATCGTAAACCACCGCTGAAAAGTTTCCCAAAAGCTTAATCGATATTGACAAAGAAGAGAACTTTTCAGCCAGACAGTCATGAACTATCTGGGCAAGATAGATGGTTAGGTCTCAAATTTAGGCACTCTGCTCGTTTTGCACAACAAAAGTGAGGGGAATTGGCGAAAATGATTTGTTGAACTGCAAAATCTTTCTTTGATGTTTGCGCTTGATCTAAGCTGATGTTGACCTTGTTCTTATTAATGGTGTGGTTTTTACCTTTTCGCCATATTCCTCCACCTGTCAGCTGTCGATAGTTCTAGTGCTAGTACTTTCAAGCGATGACAAGATGCCGATAAAAGATGTTTGACGAAGCCAACACATCCTTCACTTGCATACTACATACACTCAATTTTCAACATAACACAAGCAATATTCTTATCCTGATTTCTTCCTGCAAGGCTTGGCTGCCATCTGTAAAGCACTAAAATTTAAACTGATTCTTATTGTGAGAGAATCTCCAGAGATACTATGTTAGAAAATCCTACGAGTGGTGTTTCTTTGCTCTTTGGAACCTATTGAGCTCATCAAGTCATCATAAAGCAGTACTGTTAGTTACCCCCATGATCACCTCCTGATAGCAAGTTAGTAGCTTTTAGGTGATCTGTTGATGATTAGAACAGGATATGCCGTTAGCTATACAACTGTATCTTGTGTACATCACAACATAATAGCTTTTAAATCTTTCCATACTTTTTCATGCTTTATAATTTCCTAAACTTATATCCTCATACAAACAGGTAACTTCTGTTCTGACAAAAAGTCAGCTGCTGTAAATTGGATTGAGGGACGTGGAAAGTCTGTGGTTTGTGAGGCAGTAATCAAAGAGGAAGTTGTGAAAAAGGTTCTCAAGACCAACGTTCAGTCACTAGTAGAATTGAACGTCATCAAGAACCTTGCTGGTTCAGCTGTTGCTGGAGCTTTGGGTGGCTTCAATGCCCATGCTAGCAACATTGTAACAGCCATCTTTATTGCCACCGGTCAGGATCCTGCACAGAATGTGGAAAGCTCCCAGTGCATCACAATGTTGGAAGCTGTAAATGATGGCAAAGATCTTCATATCTCTGTTACTATGCCATCAATTGAGGTATTATATTGTCCTTTAACCTCAGCTTCTTCGTATTTTTCTTAGATTGCAGGCTATAGAGTTTGTATTGATTATTGAGTAATCTTCACCTAGTACTAATTGTTTGTCTCACACTACTGAAAGGCAGTGCCTTGCGCTAAGCTTCACCGTTATACTAGTTAGTGATTAGGTGCTAGGCAGGTCCTGTTACAAGCATAGCGCCTTTTGGAACATGCATTGTGGTCCCTGATCAGTTGACACCCATCATCTATGTCTTGTGTGGAAAGCTAGTGACTGGTCAAAACAATTTGATGTCCTTCATGATATAGGTTATTATTTTGTTTTTTTTGCCCAGCAGATGCCCTTTTTTAGTATTATATTTTTGACTCCACCAAGGAGCAAGTATGTACATGAAATTAAACTTGACCACAAATTTAATCTTGAATTTATATGGAAAAACCACTATGCAGAGTTAGGAAGTACTATGTCAGAATCAAATCATTTGCATGATGTGTTTAGCTAGTACATGTTCTGTCGAATAAACTCTTTGTCTTTAACGATGCTAATTCATCATTGTTCTTGGACAGTTGGTATTCATAACCTCCGCGCTTTTTTTTTTTAAAAAAAAGAAACAAGGATTCCTTTCATATGCTGTCCAGTGTCCACTTGCTCACTTGCTCTTGTTAAAATCAACAAATGCTAGCTAGATCAACAGCTCTCGTGTGTTTTATTAATGGCTTAATCTTGTAATTTTGTGTTTGCTTTTGCTTAGAAAGTCATCTACTAGCCTGTAGGGAACACCTGGTGGACATTTATGCATTAGCATTTATCTTATGTTTGCCAATTATATATAAATTGATGAGGTGTTCTGTGATAACCAAAATGCAGGTGGGCACGGTTGGTGGAGGCACACAGCTGGCCTCACAGTCTGCTTGCTTGGACCTACTTGGCGTGAAGGGCGCAAACAGGGAATCCCCAGGATCAAATGCGAGGCTCCTGGCCGCCGTTGTGGCTGGCGCTGTCCTTGCTGGGGAGTTGTCCCTCATCTCTGCTCAAGCTGCAGGCCATTTGGTCCAGAGCCACATGAAATACAACAGATCCAGCAAAGATATGTCCAAGGTCGCCTCTTGAGCGTATCATTTGGATCATTGCCGAGGAAATGGACAAAACCCCGTAATGTTAACTACTGTCTAATTGTCTTCTTGTACCCGCTGGAGAGAGACTGGAAGTGGACACCCAAGAGCTTCACATGCTGATTCCATGTGGCATGCTCGAGGTAAAAAAAAAAAAGGAAGAAAAAAAAGAGACAAACCCATCAGGCTAACGGGTGTCTACTCAGTAGAGTTGAGTGGCCATATTTACCAGGCGGAGGATGCCGTTGGTGGTGTATGTGGCCTATTCGTTTATTGATGTTTATTATTGCTCTTCTACAAAGTCGCTAACTCCGGACGATGGGCATTCTTCTATCACTGGGTTCTGTGTCCAAAGCAAGCTTGCATTACAGTTCACAACCCTTCCTTGGGCGCGTCGTCGGCAGCTGCTGGATCTTTCTGTCAGTTACTGCCTCGAGATGCTTGTATTACAGTTTCAGCTTTGTAACTAGCCAATTAGTTTTTTCGTCTAATCTTTTTTTATTTTAATCTTGCCCTGGTGATAGTCGGTGATGTTCCTGTAAAAAAATGTTGTGGTTCAGGGTGGTTATTTATAATTCGTGTTGGTGGTGATGCAACTGTATGGGTAGAGTTTTATGTTGTTTCCCTTAATAAATTTTCTTTTACCAAATGCTTATCCTTTTTACTGGTGTACTTCCTCCGTACTCGTAAAGTTGTTTTGGACAGCGACACAGTCTTCAAAACACAATTTTGACTTCTTGTTTCTATAAAAATATTTATTGAAAAGTGATATATATGTATCTTTTTATGGAAGTATTTTTTAAGACAAATCTATTCATATAATTTTTACATTTTCAAACTCAACAATTTAAGAGTTATTCATGATTTATATTCCTTAGGTTTGACTTAAATATTATCCTAAATGACTTTCTTTACGAGTACGAAGGGAGTATATGTTACCGTATGAGGCAGTGTTAAGATGTTAAGGGCTTGTTTGGAGGGCTTCTTCTCACAGAATCTCCAGATCCCCTAAACAGTTCAAATTGTTATCCAGATTTTAAGAATCTGGAGTTGTAGAATTCAAAAAAATGAATTATAATCTAGAAGGTGGAAAATCTAACTTCTCTAGATTCTTAGGAGCTTGCTACTAATAAGCAGATTCTCAGAATCTTAAGCTCTTCAGAAACAGGACCTAAATTACATTTCCAAATGAACCAAATATTTCGAGGCCTTATTAAGCTTCAATCATTGGGATCCGTCACTCTGTCAGAACTTAGGAAGAAAAATCTATTTCACGTGGACTTCAGTACTTCACATCCGAGGCTAGTGATATGTTTGGCCCTGATCCGATCAGGAAATCCCAGAAAAAAAAAATGCAGCGGTCGCATGTTTGGTTCTCCACTTGGGTCTCAGTGACACATCCAGTGTCAGTCTCAGTCTCACGATGATGAGATGCAGCAAGAGGCAGATCAGGTGAGCTACTGCAGGAGAAGCAATGGAAATCGCACATGTATGTGGTTAGAGATGGGCAAGTGCAGTGCACGACCACGAACACCATTTGGATCCGGCAAGTCACATGGCCCCGTGGCTGCTGCCAGATTAAAATAGCTATTAGCTCGCAAGTTGCAACAACTATAGATAAACAGACTGATGGTAGACTCTGCTCCCTCACCTCTATCAGGTCTGGTTCGGTTAATCCCTGTGAGAGAGATATTGGAGGAGATTTATTCCACATTTACTGTAGTGTAGAATTATTCCCCCTCAATCCCATCCAATTCTCCTCAATTCCCTCTAAACCGAACAAGGTCTCAGGGAGTTCCCTGATGAAGATCTAAACGACAAACGTGATTGCACGCACGTCGTCGAGGCCTCGATCGGTTGCCGCGCGCTGCGGCGAACTTTGGGTGAGGAGCAGTGGCGGTGCCAGCACTCCGTCGTAAAGCCCGAACGACTAGTAACGTTTGTGGAGCCCGAACGTTTGTCCGACCTGCTCGGGAGCTGTCTTCGCCGCTGATTTGGAGGACCAAATACACGGCCGTTTAAGAGCTGCGTGGTTTTGGAGCTCTCACACACCTTGGCTTGCTGCCGGTTTATGAGACACCGGAGTTCTAAAAAACAGATACCGGTCGTGATGGTCCATGCTGCCATGCGTGGTGTGTAATGGGAGCACAGGTTCACAATCCTAACGAAAACTGGAGATACCACACTCATGAGCTGTTTCGGTCGGGCCATATATGGGACGGTGAACTCTTGGGAGTCTAAGGCTATATTTTTTATTTAACTTTCCCAACCTTTGATCCCTCGTTTTTCATGTATACACTTCTCAAACTGTTAAATAGTGTACTTTTACTGAAAATTTATATAAGAAAATTGTTTTAAAAAATCATATTAATCTATTCTTTTTTAAAATAATAGCTAATACTTAATTAATCATGTATTAATGAGTCGTTCCATGTACACGAGGGAAGCAAACACAAGACAAGCAAACCGTTTACTCTACAAGGAGAAGCTGAAGCCGAGTAGTTCAAAATCAGCTTAAAGCTTATACATGCATTAATGACTCGGGGGCTGCCATGTTAATATGGAACACTTGGGCACCTTATTCTCGCGACGTCTTCCACACATGCTCCATAACTTGATCAAAACACATGTAGTTTTGTGAAGATTACAAATAACTATTTGTTAACTGTCTGATATGTAGTCTATTAGCTATCTTAGTTTTTGTTTTGAATTAAAAGCCATGAAAAATATTTGCAGAGCATCTCCAGCAGTAGCCCCTACTCTAAGAGTCCCTAATGGTTAAATGGGAGCTACCCTCAAATCTTTAGGACTCTAAATATGTCACTAACTCTAGCAGTAGCCCCCATACCTTAGCCCCTATTTCTTTTTCTCTTTTATTGTAGTATAGAATATATGTTTATATCTAGTTTAACACCACAATAATTCAAACATATAAAATTCTAGCGCATGGAATTCAACCATATTTAAATTTGCAATTTCAGACATCACGACTCAAATTTTAATTCAAAATTTTCAAACATGAAAATGATATATCCTACAAACAAATATTGAACAGAAATTGATAGAAAATGCAATGAAACAAACAACCGAGCACCATGAAGCGCCTACAAATGTTTCACAAGATCATCTCGAAGTTGCTCATGTGCCTGCCGGTCTTCAATTTTTTTTTTATCTTTAGAAACTTCTCTACCATATGTCCTCGTGTAGTCAACATGTAGATAATGTGATGCTATATAACTATATCGCAGCTGATTGAATTCTGAAAAAAAAACAAGAGTACAGTAACTTCATTCATACAAGTTAAATAAAGTTCATTCACTTCTAAGCTAACCAAATATCTTACATGCATGTGTGTGTGATCTGAACATTGAAATTAAGCGCCATATCTCATAGAAAGGATAATATTCATATCAACTTTATTATATTTGGGAAAGAATTCATAGCTAGAAACTATATAAATTGCCATTGCAATGCATATACAAGATCATTATAGGTCTCAGTTTTTTGGGTGTGTTGGTGTTTCAGTTCGGTTTCCCTGCTAGAGAAATTAAAAAAAACAGAAGATAAGAAGCACCAAAGACTATTGACTCACATCGTTGGTGAACAAGATACAGATGTATAGATTTTTGTTAGATGGGTTGATCAGGAGTTGACGACGAAGGACGACAACGTCGCCGTGGCCCGGGACGTCGTTGAGGGTGATGGTCTTGCGTTGTGGTTGTTGATGACGACGGTACCCGAGCTTCTCCAATTCCCAGCCGATTTGCTATGGGGAAGGCAGTGGCCAGATGATGCCGGCCACCATCGATCTACTATGCGGGAGACCATCGGCGAGGTCGACGACTGGAGAACGTGATCTCGGTGGTGTGGCGATGGAGGTTTTAGAGACTGCGGCGGCGATCGCACCTAGGGCGCAGGAGAAAAGAGAGCGCGCGTGACGTGAAAATTTTCTCACGCCAAAAGAAAATAGATGGGGGTTGTGATCTCGAGCCCCCAGGACTGGGGGCTGTGGAGGAGGATACGAGGGCCTTCTTATTTTGGGCCTCTAGAAGGGCCCTGCTGGACTTAATTTTTTACCTGTAACCCTCAAAAACTATTTAGGGACTGTGTTTTGGAGCCCTGTTGGAGATGCTCAGGCTGTGATCTCACCTAGCTTTCTCAACTTATACCTCCCTCGTATTCCGCGCGCACGCTTTTCAAATTGTTAAACGGTGCAGTTTTTGTAAAAGGTTTATATTCAAAAGTTGATTTAAAAAACCATATTAATTCGTTTTTTTAAAAAAACTAAATACTTAATTAATTATAAAAGAACGCGGAAGGTGAGTTCTCAACCACACCTCCATATCTCGTGCCTGTGCGAAGATATCTTTATTATTTTTCTTTCTTTCTCCTTTTCATCTTTGGTGAATAAATGTAAATATATCACCTGTCAGTTTGTACATATGTGTCAGGTTATAAACATTCCTTTTTATTACCTTAAAGAGAGAGTGAAAAAAAAAGGTACACTATTATGTGGAAAATGTAGGTACTACTTTCGTTTCAGATTATAAGACTTTCTGTCATTGTCTATATTCATATAGATGTTAATGAATTTAGGCACACATATATATCTAGATTCATTAATATATATATATAACACGGATGAAGTAGTATCGATCCATGATCAGTTTGATTTGTGTTTAATTATCTGAAGCTTGATCTGCCTCTGCTCCTCCCGATGTTGTCGACGAAGGCCTCGCCGATCCCCTCCCCGATGCCCTCGATGAGGCCGCCGATGACGCTGAACAGCGCGTTGATGGTGACCCTGGCGACGGCGGCGAGCGCGCTCCCCTTCTCCGGCGGCGCGACGCCGTGCACGTACAGCCCGTTCACCACGTCCTTGGCGCACCGGGCGTGCAGGTAGTACCCGCACGGCATGCACTGGTACACGTACTGCCCCGCCGGCCGCCGGCACCGCCGGCACATCTGGCACACGAAGCTCGTCCCCACGCCGCCGTCGCCGACGCCGACGACGTCCGACGTCGGTGTCGCCATCGGCGGCGTCGGCGGCGACGGCGCCAGCATCAGAGGGTGCTCGTGCGCCACCGGCAGGTCCATCCTCCGCGACATGGCGGCGCAGCACGGGTGCATGGCGAAGCTGCACGACGTGCACCGGAACGAGAAGCCCTTCACCGACTTGCCGCAGATGTCGCACTTGCAGCGCAGGAACCCACCTGAAAAACAATCGGATCGATCAACTTGGAATTCTTCTTACCTATATCAAACATATACTCCATCTGTTAAAAAAAAACCAATCTCGTATTTTTGAGTGATGAATACACTTTTCTTATTAGTAGTGCGTTAGCGTAGGAATCATCCTAACACTTCTAACGTTGGAGAAAAAAAAATAGAGTTTGGTAGAGAGGAGAACCAAAATAGACAAGCGGAGAAATATTCTCCCAGGGTGTTACCACAGTTATTTTCTTCGCAGTTTGACTAATTATCAGTCGCTCAAAATTTAAAATTTTCTTATCTGGCAGCTATTCCTAAAATATTTATCTCACTCAATCAGTTTAGAGTCTGACTTCAAATTCTAAGACTCGGTGGATAAAAAAAAAATCTAAAACACGAACTACTATTCTAATTAAAGTGTGACACCAACTTTGTTCTAATTCTCACCAAATGAATACTTATTTTAGATAATGGGGAATCTCATCCATTGTTTCAACAAAAAGTGTAGCAAAATCCGTAACCTTTGAGCTGACCATGACAACTAGACCAAATAAAACAATGACTTAATCTTAAAAAAATAACTGACATTGGATAAAAGAATATTATTCGGTAAACAATTCTATCACTACATCTCCACTCTGGAATTAAAAAAAAAATCCGCATAACCAGCTGAATACTTATCACCTGCTTTTCAAAATCTTTCACTCGCAATCACCTTATCCTATATATGCTTGTTAGTACATACTACATTCGTCTTTTAATATATTACACCGTTGACTTTTAGGTACAAGTTTCACCATTCATTATATTAAAAAAAATTATGTAATTATTTATTTTGCTACGAGTTGTTTTATCATTACAAATGGTCAAATGTCTAAAAATTGACAGTGTCATGTATTAAAAAAATGGAGGGAGCATTAATTACATTATCTTTTCTTTTATACTTTTGCATTGTGTACCTGGTTTGACGAAGAAGAGAAGGTGTTGGTGCTTGGGATGGAAAGGGTGGTCATGGAGGGACGGAGGAGCCAGGGCGCAGAACTCGTGAAGCTGGAAGCCGCAGAGCTGGCACATGAACCGCTTGCCGGCGCCGTACTCCTTGCACCCCATGCACATGAAGAGGTAGGGGAAGTCGAACCGCGCCAGCCGGTGCTCCGGGTGGCTGAAATGCACCATCTCGCCGTCGCCGCCGCCGCCGCCATCTTCACCTCGTTGCTGATGCTGACCTGAACAATAGTACTGCTCTTGCTGATCTGATGAAGAAGAAGGAGGAGGAGGCAGCCTGCCGCTGAACTCTCGAGATTTCAGCGACATGCTGCGTCTCCTGCTCATCTTGCTCGAGCTAAGCTAGCTGCTCTACCTCTTCTTGCAGGTTAATTACAGCTCTCCTCTTCAGCATTGCTGAAAAGAAATAGACTGGTGCCTTAGAGAACTTATAGTATTATCAATGAGTACATATAGGGAAAGCAAATGCACAGGAAAAAGGCTTGATCAGGAAGGTGATCGTTTGGTGTTAATCACCGTTTTCTACTACTAAAAATTATTGATCGATCTGATATTACGTGCACAGAGCACAGCAATGCAGCAGCCTTATTACAACCATGTGGTAAAGCTAGGTTTTGATGCTTGTGTGATGAACAAGTCTAGTCTAGTCTCCTGTGCGAGAAAGTTACAGCATCAAGAAATCTTTCTTTTGCTTCGCAGCATCTAATTCCTGTTAGATTCAGAATGCATGCATGTGAAGTTATGTGGGTCAGAAAAAACTACCAGTTTACCAGGTTAGCAAACTGAACTTTTCTCTTGATGTGTGAAAGGATCTTAGTACGTCGTTTGATACCTCTGCCTCGAAACCCCGCTTCCTCCATTTGACCATTTGTTGAAAGTGTTCTAACATGAGCTGGTCCAAACATGATGTTAAAATTTCCTTGAGAAATGCCAGAGGCAGCATCCCTCTAGTCTCATCTATTCTGCCTAGTTAAGTGCTTTTTCCTTTAATGAACCCGCCCCTAAAAGTCAAAAAAAGTCTATTTTATCATGGAAAGAACACTAAACTGGCAAGAGAGTTGATAATTATATTTCAATACGTAGAAGTAAAAACCTATACAAGATTGTGACATGCTAATTGTCCAATTTGTGGTTTAATGGAGGAGGATGGATCGATATCATGCCACTTTAGAGTGTACCAAGTCCAAAGCATTGAGAGAAGCAGTGTGATCAGTTTGGTCTCTGTCTAAGGAAGCAGGTCTTACAAGATACATCAAGTAGCACAGAAAAAGCTCATCTACTGTATGTTTTATGGAGGGCATGGCGCCTGAGGAAATATGAATGACATGATCCATGGTAATGGGAAGGCTACAATCGCAGACTGTGAATTTCCTTGTTAGTTATGAAGACACACTGTTGTCGCTCCGACAACAGCCTGATGATCTTAAGGGGAAAGGACCGATATTGTTGAGAGAGAGAGAGAGAGTTTTATAAGGAGTCGGTAGTCGGTACTGCCAACACCAATGAAATGGTCAGTACCACCTAAGGGCATGCAAAGCTAAATGTAGATGCAACATTCAGAGAATTAGAAACATGTGAATCAACTGCAGGAATTGTAATGAGAGATTGTCGAGGTCTGGTGCATGCTACCGGTTGCGCATAAAGCGTTGCCCCAATGTAGCCCTGCCCAGCAGTCCAGCCAGAAGCTCTGGCGTCCTTAAAGGGCCCAAAAGCCGCAGTGCAATAGGTGCACATGTCAATACTACTAGAGATTGGCAATGTTGAGGTGGCTATAAGGTTACAAAAGAATTTCCGGCCAGATCATCATGGAAGATGATGATGACGGATGCAAAAGGAGTTATACAATGGCTGTGTTTAGTTCACGCTAAAATTGGAAGTTTGGTTGAAATTGAAACGATGTGACGAAAAAGTTGGAAGTTTGAAGAAAAAGTTTGGAACTAAACAAGGCCAATGTATGCAGAGTGTGCAAGTGCACAAGATAAGAAGAGATGCAAATAGGGTAGCTTATGTTCTTCCTAAGCTGGCAATGTGTTAAGGTGCAGAGTGGAGGTTATGTGCTCCTGAGATAATTCTTGACTTTAAAGAATATAGCCCTATGTTTAATCATTAATATAAGGTCTCTCTTTACTTTAAAGAAAACAGATGGGTTACAACTTACAAGAATAAAAAAAATCAACAAGAAAGTATCACCAAGTTCCTCAACAACGAACACCACTGTAGTCGGCAAGACAAACCCATAGCATGTGCAACAAAACCCAACACTACACCAACCCTTTCACTAAAGGCCATTGACGGAGCCCAAACATGGGTCACCGTTGTTGTTGTTCCGCAAAAGTGACATGGCAGTTCCGACTTTCACAGCGAATACATGTCATTGTTATCAAAGCTTGCCAAAACAAAGCAACTTCGACTTCAGCACAAACGTATGTTGTCATCTCCGAGCTCATCACAAAAAGATCAAGTAGCTCCGACTTTTCATGGCAAACTTCAGTCAAAGCCACCATATTGCCGCTTCCTACACATGTCTAGCACCAACACCTAGAAAAAGGTACCATGTCATCGCCACTTCCTGCACACGGTTGATAAGGAATATTTCCCTTAGCTTTGAAAAACAAGCAGTAGCATTTCCCTCTATTTTCAATACATAACAAAATTTACATATCTTGTAGTGTCTTACTCTTTAAGAAATGTCATGAATTGTTAGATTACTTCGTAGCTACAATAACATCTACTGCATGTTGGTCCAAAGTCCAAAACAGAACACTTTGATCCTTATGGGAAATGCAAGGATGAAAGCCTTCAATTTAGCTAAGCTAGTAATTCACAAATTATTCAAAAATAAAAGTCCTCGCTCACTAATAAGATCCTATTTACATAAATAGGTATATCTACACCATCCTTTCAATGTTAGAGTGCATAATCCATGAACCCACCAATAGTTGGCCATCCAAATTACGTTATCCCTTGCAACAATGCAGGTCCAACAAAAACCACAACTTGAGATCCTGAGTCTACACGGTCAGGTGAACAACATGATGGTTGACTATCATCTATATGTTTTATCTTTCAAATCTGTCTTCAATTTCTAATGTGAGACTAAATCAACATTTGGAATAGAAAAAAAAAACTAAATGAGAATCAACTCATAATTAGAAAATTTATGGTTCATTTCTTTTTCCCTTAGATACACCTGAACCGAACGTTCCAAAATACACACGAGTCCGCTTGATAAACTAGTGCTCCTACTCCCTCCGTCCCATTTTAAGCGCAACCATGAGTTTCGCGGTGCCCAACTTTGATCGTCCGTCTTATTTGAAATTTTTTTATAATTAGTACTTTTGTTGTTATGAGATGATAAAATATGAACGGTACTTTACTTTCGACTATGTATTTAATTTTTTTTTAAAATAAAACGGAGGATTAAAGTTAAGCGCGGAAAAATATGGCTGCACTTAAAGTGTAACAATGGATTACTTATTTCTGAGGAATTTGGGGGGCGGGGGGGGGGGGTGTCCATAAAAAAGTCCATGTCAAATCCATATCCCCTCTTGACAGAGCACTACTCAAGTCCCTGTATATATCCCCATGCGTCGTAATTAATCGTAATCAGCTGTCGCGAGCCGTGACGACTGACGACGACCTACTGTAATCAACTCTCCTTACTCCTCTGCAATCTGCACCGCACGAGTAGTGCTCGTGCGTCAGCCATGATGATCAGATGATCCCAAAACCATCGATGACATGTCGCTGTCATGCCACCACACCAATTAATAACGATTAACAAAGTTTAAAAAGTTAACGATTAACAGTGCCATGTATGCACGCATGATCATTATTTTAACACTTCAGCTCCTCTATAACCCTTGGGTCCTGAAGATTAATTAAGTCCGTTGATATGTCAGTCAAAGAAAACTCGTTTATTAATTAGGTTGTGTTTAGTTCACATCAAAATTAAAAGTTTGGTTGAAATTAAAACGATGTGACAAAAAAGTTAAAGTTTATGTGTGTAGAAAAGTTTTGATGTGATGGAAAAGTTAGAAGTTTGAAGAATTATTTTGGAACTAAACACAGCCTTAGTTTACTCGAAATGTGTCCGAAGATTCTTCACACATTTCCTCACTGATCGTTTTAATTGACCACGTACTCAATCCGGTACTCTCCTTGTCTCCGTTGACACTGACAGGCGTGACGGATTCGCCTGCGTCATCAACACAAAACATATGCACTAATGCTGTCTCAGTACTATATAAGTAGAGATTAGCTACATAGGAGTGGTTCTAAGTGTCAAAGATTAGCTTGAGAGAAGTGGCTCTAAGTGTGCCAAAGTGCGTTCGTGTCGATCGCGACTTGGAGAAGGAGATGGGCTGCTGCGTGTCGCGCTCGACGGCGGCGGCGGCGGTGGAGCGGCGGCAAGTGGTGGCGGTGGACGCGACGGCGGCGATGGTGATGGACCTGGACGGCACCATGGCGCGGCTCGAGGCGCCCGTGGCGGCGCGGGTGGCGCTGGGCGGCGACGCGTACTCCTGCTTCGTCTGCGGCGCTGACGAGCTCGACTACGGCGCGCCGGCCCGCGCCATGGGCGACGACGAGGCGCTCCAGCCGGGGCAGCTCTACTTCGTGCTCCCCGTCTCCGCGCTCCGCCGGCCGCTGTCCGGCCACGACATGGCCGCGCTCGCCGTCAAGGCCAGCGCGGCGCTCTCCAGCATCGGCGTGCCGACGTCGTCGGCAACGCGGCGCAAGGACGACCGGGACGGCGCCGCGGCCAGCGGCAAGCGGCGGCGGACGTCCCGGGTGGCTCCGCTCGCCGTCGTGAGCGGCATCGATGCGCACGCGACGCCGTTGATGGCGAAGACGAGAAAGTGTGGTCGTCGTCGTGCATGCGTGCGAAGGTTGAGCGTAGCCAGCGAGTGATCCGTCCATCCATTAATTCGACGATCTCAGCATAGCTGTGATTAGCTTTTGATCACACGAGTTATTGTGGATTTGTGGTTTAGTTTAGTTGATTTTTAGTCGTTCATCCCCCATTTGAGGAGGAGGTAGCCATGTACAGTAAGTAAGAACGTACAAAAAAACAAAGCACATTTTGAACTTTTTTTTCATGTATATTTAATTGCGATGTTCCGATAATGACACTATGGTACTAATTATCGAATGAATTAAAGGCAGCATGCCATTCAGTTATGAATCGCAATCTTAAACTCAGATAATTTTTTTTTATAATAGAATTGATTACATTTTTAGTCTCTACGCATGAGCACACAATCAACAAGAATATATAATGGACGTGATGGAACAAAATCCTAACTTTCGCCAATATAAGGGTCAACTGAAATAACAATTTCAAAATCACATACTCCCTCAGTCCCATAAAAACTTAGGACGTCTAGATTCATTGTACTCCTCCTAGGTTAAGTTTTTTCTGCGACGGAGGGAGTATATTCTAGCACGATATTTTGTAAGTACTATGACATCCAAATTGGAATAAAAACTCCTTGGCTACCAATTTCAATTTCAAGTGTGTAGCAATGATTACAAACTCAGCTAATAAACAAGTTAAAAGTATCTTATCTATACTACTTTAAAAGAGATTAGTGATGGTGTTTGAGTCTACCTTCAACCAGGGTTTGCATTTTTGAAATGAGTGTTTTTGCCGGAGGAGGCTGAAAGAACCAAATTTTTTGGTATTTTTTGGCCGAAATTATTTAAAAATTTGACAGATTTTGAATAAATTTGGATAAACATTCACCAAATTCAAAAAAAATTGAAAAAAAACCAAAAAAATTTGGGCGAGATAAATGCTTGCCGGTGGGGTGGGGGTGGGGGTGGGGCGAAATTTTGGAAATTTCCGAAATTGCAAATTACTACCCCTCTAGCACCACAAATTGATGTGGGACCATAACCATAAGATCTCCACAACACGTGAATGTCCCTAAAATTGATAATTCTCAAAAAAAAATGTAAAGGATACGTACGAAAAGTAACAAAACCTTTAAATAGACATGCCAATCACAGATGAATTATAAGCATCCGATCTTGTATTATCTGATATTATGGTTTGTGAAAATAGACAATGATAATAGAAAGATGTGGTGTAGCAACATGTTTCAATATGGTTATCTTGAGAGATGACATTATACGTCTAATCGACTAAATATGCTATAAAGTGGTAATTTCTGTTTTTATTTTTCTTTTATAATATCCGTTGCAAAACCAAAACGAACGGCGATCGAACAAGCAGTACAGTACGAGCACCAACGATTTTTCCCGTTGAGCGGATGTCCCCCAAAGTTCAAATCCAAAAGCAAAATCTTTCGCTCTACTGCGGCTGCTTCTGTGTGTGCTACTTTCTCCGTCCTAGAATGTAGGCAATTTTTAAGATAGGCATGGATATTAACAAAGTAGGTACTACCTCCGTCCCATAATATAAGAGATTTTAGGTGAATATGACACGTCCCAGTACAATAAATCTAGACAGATCGTCTGTCCAGATTCATTATAGTATGATGTGTCACATCCATCTAAAATCCCTTAGGCCAACTCCAATGTATTTGGCTAGCTAGTCCATAGATATGGGACCCACGGCTGGGAGTCCATAGTTATAGAACCCACCACAATATGAGTAATTAAAGTGGGTCCCACAAAAGGTAAAAAAATCAGCACTCCTACAGCGTTGCTATTCCCATACCCTCCATACAGGAGCTGGCTAATGGCGATCCCATCCACCCCTATACACTCCTCTCCTCCCTTCCTCCTTCCCATCTTCTCTTCCTACTACACCATAAATTTTAAAAATATAAAAAAACAAAGTTGGAAAAATTTATATATAGAGATACTATATAAAAAAATATTTGGATTCAAATTCAAATTTGAAACGGGTATGTAAACTTTTGACTTATAAACTTTGGGTCTACAAACTAATATTTGAATTCAAATTCAAATTTGAATCGGGTATGTAAAGTTTGACTTATAAACTTTGATTCTATAAATTTTAGGTGTATAAACTTTAGATGTATAGAAATACTATATATAAAAAATGCTTGAATTCAAATTTAAATTTGAATCTGATATAATTCAAATTCAAATTTGAATCGGGTATATGTAAACTTTTGACTTATAAACTTTGGGTCTATAAACTTTAGGTGTATAAACTTTAGATGTATAGAAATACTATATATAAAAAATATTTGAATTCAAATTCAAAATTGAATCGGATATATAAACTTTTGATTTATAAACTTTGGGTCTCTAGACTTTAGATGTGTAAACTTAAGGTGTACAAACTTTAGGTATATAAATTTACTAAAATAGGAAAGTAATGCGGTGCCTAAAAAAGAAAACCAGGTGGAGGGAGGGGGGAATCCGAACTGATCGCTAGGGGCGATCGATCGCCCCTTAGCAATCTCGCTCCATACAGGGTTACTAAATTTTGTTCTTTAACATTTGTAAACAGTGCTATTGTTCAACTATCATTTTTTATTATCTTATTGCATACCTATAGTGTTATAGACAGCTTTTACTATATTTTTGCTATAGACTACTTGCACAATGTGGTTAGGTAGCTGAAAAGAATATAATATTGATTATGGACTACTTTTACACAATGTAGTGTAGAACTAGTCTATAAGCAATACAATATTCCATTCAGCCACTCAATAACATTATGGAACTAGTTCATAGCAAGGAAATAACAAAAGTTACCCATAAGCATATGGGCTGCCCATATAGAATAAAATATGTTATTTGTCTCTACTTCCTCTCTCCTCCTAATACTACTTACTACCTATATACATTGTGAATGTTACAATAGCTAAAACCCATATACGTGGGTCCCATGTATATGGACTACTTTGACCATATACATTGGTGTTGCCCTTATATTATGGGACGGAGGGAGTAGATATGATTGAAGTAAGGTTGTGATTGGTGGAGAAAAAAAAAGTATATGAAGTAAATGGTTGTGTGTTTGGTTGAGAGGGGAGGGCAGGTGGAGAAATAGCTTTATTTTAGAACAAGTTACTGTACTGAAAATAGCTATATTTTAGGACGGAGGTAGTACTAATGGTCCGCTAGATCGAATCGATCGTTGTATATTTACAAATAAAAAATAATTTACGAATAAAATTTTTATATATGTGTTCTTATAATGATCTAAAAGCAAAATCTGAAAAATAAACTACGACGAAAATACCATAAAATCAACTCAAATTTAAAGTTAAAAATTTAAATTTTAGCTGATAAATATAGATATAAGCGAAAATATAAGGTTAGAGTGAAAACCAAAACGAACGGCGATCGAACAAGCCAAAGGCGAAGATTCGCCGCACGGTGTGCCTTGGATAGGAAGATCAATCCGAAAAACCTGACTTGCGAAGAAAGACGAGCACATCTCCCTTGTATAAATGTGTAGCAAACCGGTCAATCCGCAAAGTGAGATCGAGACATTTCACCATGAATACTTTTCGTTACCTTTGTGACGTTGATTGCCAACAGAACTTCACAGACCGGTCTTCACAAAAACAGTGAAAATTTATCCCATTACACTGTTGCTTTCACAAGTCCCCTGCATCATCCTCCCACCGTCCTACAGAAAATCAATCAAGTATTAGAGTATCTTAATTCGTTATCTTAGAAAACACATTATCAAGACTATATTAATTTTTTATGGGACAGAAAAAGTAAACTCCTGCTTTTCGTTGGCCCAGTACTTCAGGTACCCCAAGATGTACCATTCGTGCGTACTACCAGAGCGCCGCACGTTGCTGTCACCCAACGCGAGCCGTGACGCCGCCAAAGCTAGCGTCCGCTCCGCTCAGTTCGTTCACCGATGCTTCGCCACGCACGTCCGCGTCTCTGCCTGTCACGCTCGTTCTCACAGCGAGAGATCACCAGTCAATAAAAAAAAAAAAGTCCACAACTCAATGAGCTCGCATCGTACGTACGGCCGGACACTGACACAGGATGCGTGACGCACTCACCTGCGTCATCGTCGTCTCCCATCTTGCTCCCACTTTCCCAAGCAAAAACGCTCGTTGCTCTCTCTCTCTCGCCTATAAAACCAGCCATGTCCGATCGACTGCATCATCATCTTGCTGCCATATCCACTTCGACTCCAATCCATAATCGCGGATAGATCACTTCACTACTGCAACGGATTACGACTCCAATGGGTTCTTGCGTCTCGCGCTCTACGGCGGCGGCGGCGTCGGCGATCACCACCACCACCGCGGCCAAGGTTGTGTTCCGGGACGGCTCCATGGCGCAGTTCGCGGCGCCGGGTAGCACGGTGCGGGACGCGCTGGGCGGCGAACGCGCGTCGTCGTCGGCGTCCACCTGCTTCGTCTGCTGCTCCGACGAGCTCCGCTTCGACGCGCCGCCGCGCGCGATGGCGGCGCACGACGCGCTCCGGCCGGGCCAGCTCTACTTCGTGCTGCCCGTCTCGGCGCTCCGCCGCCCGCTCTCCGGCCAGGACATGGCCGCGCTCGCCGTCAAGGCCATCGCGGCGCTCGGGGCCTCCGCCACCGCCGCCGGCAGCAGCAGCGGCGTGTCGTCGCGGGGCAAGAACGCGCGCCCCGCCGGCAAGCAGCGGCCGCAGGCGACGGCTCGAGTGGCGCCGCTCGTCGCCGCCGGCGCCGACCACGTGTACGGCGGATACGACTCCCAGAAAACGGTGCGCGGTGATCGGACGGCGAGGATCAACGGAGGTGGTAGCATTGCTCGCCAACGCACAGGATTGCAGAGGTTGAGCGCCATCTCGGAAGGCGATGAGTGATCCAACTTGTTAAATTGCTATATACAAGTTTGATCAAGGATTAGTTGTTAATTATAGTTCATCAAGTTGTTAATTAGGTGCTCCCACATTTGTAGATATAGGAGTCCGTACTTGTACAGTATGTTCAGGGAATTTTGATACTGATTCTTTGCAGTATGCCATATCTTTTTTTAGGTAATAGAAATTGTTTATAACTCCATACTACCAAATGACACATAACCAATGAGTATTAAAAGTTAAATAAAAAACTTTAAGGTTATGGGATAGATCCCTATATGCCATATTGTTTGAGTTGTTCTTATGAAATTTGTGCACTTTATCACAATGGATTTGATGGAGAATTAGATCTGGAAATGTTCTTGTCCTTGCCAGACTTATCAGCTGCAGTCTGAACTCTGAACTCTGAACTCTGAAAGCAAATTTCCCTTTCCCTGCTGAGAACTCTGGCCTAACTTAATTGTACATTTTTTGGGCCAAAAATGGATGAGCCAGCCCATCCAGAGTCTTGAGATCGACGTCAAACAAAAACCTTGTTAGGTCTTCTTTGTGTGACTACTGTACTTTTCTGATCGTTTACATTAACAAAACCTCCATCAAAAGACGCCATTTTAATTCCCAAGTGTACTCTGATATTCTTGGCAGATGGAAACATTTCTTCAGAAGTAAGCGCCAAGATTCTTTTCTTTACCAGATCTTAAAAGAAAACATCATTCATCTCTCTTTCCATCAAAATCAAGAAAAGGTGTACTTATAGCCTGACGATTATATTATTCTTCACAAAAAAAAAAGAAAGGCCTGACGATTGTAGCTTTTATTCGATCTTCAAGACCAGGAGTAAAGCTCTGCAAATTCTGTTCGTGATAAATTAGTCAACTATACTAGTTACCGCTCAATGGAATTAACAACTGTAGCAGTACATTATTATTTTACTCTCTACTCTCAACACAAAAACATGTAATCTTTTCAGACGATGTTAACTGACGACAGAGAGTACAAAGCTCACTTGGCTAGCAGCCTAGCATAGGACCGAATAGCTTAATATCAGGTGCCAAATAAATCATCTTCTGCATATTAAGATCATTATCTTACTGCATTATATATATCGGAATTGCTAGATTTTGCGACATATTTTTTAAAGAGAACTTTTGGTTTTTAAGGTCGTTAGATCTGCTAGCTCTAAGATTCATGCAAGAAGATCGCATACAAATTACAAGTGGAATTTTAGGCCGTTAAGTCTCCTCTATTTTCACGAACGCGCGAAATAATTGCACGTCAATATATTATAAGAATAGAGTTAAGTCTCCTCTAAAATTCGTACAAGCAGATCACACACAAAAATAGCGCGCTGAAAGGAGACGGGCACGCAATCTCAGGATTGCTATCGCTAGCTACTTTTTCTCTGGTTTCATTTTAATTGACGTTTTGGATAATAATACGGTATACAAAATATATCTTTGACCTTATTTTTCTATTGTAATATATATAATAAATAAATATATGTTTAATTCTTATTATAGTGCTTTGAAAGACAAATCTATATATATATATATGTTGTTCTAATTCCTTTAAACTAAATATTTTTAAAGTTATTGTTGGTCAAAGTTATAAAAGTTTAACCCCAACCATGTCCAAAACGTCAATTATTATAGAACCGGAGGGAGTACTGGCTAACCTGGCACCGACTCTAATTTGATATATTATACAATTATAGTGTAATTATATTAATTATGCTATGATTACATTTAAAAGTTTTTTTTAAAAAAATGTTGCAACAGATTTTAGGTACACCCTATATATATATATATATATATATATATATATATATTCGTGTTCGTTGGAACTAATTAAGCCGTCTTTACATCAAAGTAATATATTAATATGACATCTGATCTGCCAGTCAACTCGTATATATGTATGCGAGGTTATATTAGGATTTACTAGTAGACTAGCTACATTATATACCACATACGTAGTGCAGTATATACGATTTGCAGCGTCCTTCAGGCAAGAATAATACGTGCGTTGCTGAGCTTTGATTGCATAATTAATTAAGGATATAGTACAAACGCAGAACTGACAGCTGAACAACTAGCCGGCCCAGCTAACTATAACTGCAAGATGGTGTTCCATATTTTGGACCATTTTTTCCATGCAAGCATGCATGACACGACGTCGTCGTTGCTGGTGTTCAGCTACAGTGATGGTGATTAAGATTTAAGATGAACTAATCAACAAGCTTGCATGGTTGTCATGATCGGGATATATATGCTAGCTGTGCTTTCCCTCCGAATTAGGAATTTAGGATCGGATATGATCCTGCCAGAATCTGTAAAGTACATACCTGTATATATACTTCTATATATAAGATTAAGAATACGTCGTAAACACTGAAACTTATTAGCGCAAGTACAAAGGTAGAGACCGGTGTGGTCTCTACGTTAATTAGAGACTATCATGTTACAATAGTTAAAACAGTACGGTCTCTAACCATTAATATACCAAAATACTTTCTTACTAGTCATCTTTCCTTTATTAGACTCAATGCAACGAAAAATTTCCTAATAAATGCTAAGAGTCGACTCTATGCCGCTGTCATGCGTAGCAACCATATTTCTCTTTCCTTCTTCCTCTCTCTTCTATGTTACCAAATATGCTTGCATGACAATAAATAGAGACCGCTAATAAAGACCATTGTACATGCCCATGGGTTTTGATAAACTGAATTGTCCTTTTGTAACATATATTGAGGTGACTTAGGGCATGTACAAAGGTAGAGTCAGGTATGAGCTCTACGCTATCTAGATACTAGCATCCTACAATAGTTGGAGACAATATAGTCTCTAATCATTAATGTATCAAAATATTTTTTTTCTTACTATTCTTTCCTTTCTTTCACCACCATGCAACAAACACTGGTGGAGAAACCATCTTTGGTCGGTCGCCCGAAATCCACAATAGTCTCGGTTCCACTAAAAACCGGGACTAAAGATGATCTTTAGTCCCGGTTGGTGGCTACAGCAGGCATATTTGATCTTTAGTCTCGGTTGGTGTTACCAACCGGGACTAAAAATGATCTTTAGTCCCGGTTCTAAATCTGTTAGGCCTTGTCAGGCCCCCCGATATCTTTAGTCCCGGTTGATAACACCAACCGGGACTAAAGATAGGATCTTTAGTGTTACCAACCGGGACTAAAGATCCCAGGGATCTTTACTCCCGGTTGATAAT